AATATTCCCTACACCTGGGCTCTGTGAAGGATATGGGCAGGGAGGTGTAGCCCAGGAGGCTTGATTCCAGTATGCCCATGGAGATGGATACATCCACCACTGCTGACCCGTGAATTGTGACGCTGCTGACTGTTGATGTGCTGCTTGCTGCAGCTGCTGGTTGCTCCGACCACCAAACCCAGAGCTTCCCTTTTTTCCATCCTTTCCCTTAGTTTTCCAACCACCGCGAGAAGGCTGCGAATTGCTACGAAGAGAATCAGAAATCTGCTTGCCCTGCTGCGAATTAAATGCAGTCGATGATGGCGATTGTGAGAGATGAACTTCCTCAATAGAATCTGGAACATCAGACGCATTACCCTGCTCCTCCAATTCGAGCATGGAGCACAAAGTGTCAAAACTAGAAAGCGGAGCTAAGTGACGAATAGAGGTGCGAAAAGGCTTGTATTCTTCCGAGAGCCCCTTCAATAACTGCAAGGCCATGCGATTATCAGAGACTGCATCACCCACATTCCGGAGACTATCTGCTAGGGATTTCAGGCAAGCACAATATGGCTTAACACCCTCGAACTGATCGAGACTGGTGTTTGTTAATTGCGCATCAAGATGAAGAGCACGGGCTGACTTGTTGTTGAGAAAGAATCGTTTCCATGCATCGATAGCCTTGTCATCGGGATCGATAATTGAATCGAGAAGATCAGTCGAGATGGTATTGTATATCCATTATTGAACGATGTTATCAAGTCTTTGCCACATATTAAGGTCAGAAGAAGATTCAGGAGCTTTCTGCTTGTCATTAACAATCAGAGGGATGATATGGTCGACCACTAAATTCATACGACAATGGAGTTGGAATAGAGTAGACCAAGTATTGTATTGAGTACCGCTGTAATCAAGAACAATAGGGATGCAAGCCTTGATGTTAGTGACAAGTGTAGCATGATGAACCTTTTGTTCGGCCATTGATGAGAACCGAAATTGAAGAAGATTAGAGAAGATGAGCGGAAGAGAATTAGGGTTTCGGATTGTAAAACCTAGACTCGTGTTACCATGAGAGAACATGAGAATATTTGACGTGCCTTCTCATTACTGTAAAGTGAATATATGTACAACCAAGGATACTAGGTTAGGCTAAAGCTAACTAAGGAAAGATATACACTAAAATATTCACAAGATAATTACAATAGATTATTAACATAATCTATCAAAAATAGCAAATGAAACATTAAAGGTAATTCTCTTAGCGTTTGACAATAATTCACAAACGGTAATTTTTTCATTATTTATTAACTAACTTTGACTATTATAGTCGAGAATGTATGGAAAACAGAAAAATCACGTAAAATGTTTTATAAAAGATATTATGTATTAATTTGAGGCTTAGGAATATTAAAAATTTATTTATTAATGTTCAATTACATATATAATGTTTCAAAAAAAAAAAAGTAAAAATTAAAAAAAAGTAAAAATAAAACTATATATAAGGTTAAATACAGACATTTGATGTGTGTTAAGTTTCATTGTTTTCTCTTATGGAATGTAAGGAGTACACGAGCACATCCAGTTGAATTGAAGTTTAATTTGAAGTAGGTAAATGGGTCGGGTAGTGGGCTAAAATCCGATCCAATGCGGTAAAACGAGGAAAGACAGGTAAAAAGACAGCAAACTGAAAAGAGCAGTGAATTTTTAGAAATGTGTAGCAATCGTCCCCTTATGAGCTGACTTTTCCTGGTATCCTTAACATTAATCATAATCTAATGATGCTTTGCTTTTCAAAATCTTTAATTTTGTTTAGTATTTCTTCTTTGGATTTTTCTTCTTGTATTTTGGTGGCCTTTAGAATATTCTTCCCCTCTCCAACACTGTCAAGCTAAGAGCATCAACTTTCGAGGCCTAACTTGTGAGATTTCTGATTCTTTTACATCTTCTATTATAATATTATTAATTCATATCTTCTTTCTATATTTAAACTATACTTTATAATATAATAATATATAAACATATCATAACTAGCTAGGTTAATTTATAATTTATCATAGGTTAAAAATAAGGCCAAGATAATAGATCTTGTGCAAAGTTGGTTGTAAAAAATAATAATAATTATTATTATAATATTTCATATCTCCATCATCCTATATTTCTATGTAATTATAACCATAGGTTAAATTTAAAAATATCATAGGTTAAAAATAAGGCCAAGACAATAGATCTTGTGCAAAGTTACAAACTGTTGAAATTTTTTGAATGAAACTTATGGAAGGATTTGGGGAAAAGCAAATTGTTGTCAATAAGGGCATGTTTGTTTTCGTTGCTTGTCTTTTACAATGAAGACTATAGTACATGCTAAAATAATTATATACGATGAGTATTGTTTTATTTATGCATGTACTTCAAACAATGTCTTATAATTTGCATCAAATCTCAAAACTTGGATGTTATCAATTCTTATTATTATTTCTTGATATAATGTTACAAGATTAAATTTATTTTATTATGGTATGTTTGCTACTCTAATTTTATCTCTATTAGGAAACTCTTTTAATTTTATTACACTAATTAGTTAGTATTTAGCAAACTTTTTATCGTTAATTGGCCCCTATTAAGTAGCTACTCATGCTATTAACCTCTTTTTTTTTTTTTTTTTTTTTTTTTTTTTTTTTGTGAGGGGAAATGCTATAAACCAATTTGAAATTGAATAATTTACTAGACAAGTGTATACATGAAGTTTTATATATTAATTTAAAAAGGTACATATAGTTCAGTTAAAAAATTTAATCAAATTATTTTTTTAATAGATTGTGTGTTTGTTTGATATGGCGCCTTTTACAAGTTTCAAAAGTAGAAAAGGATAATTGAAGTCCGCTAAAGATGTCACTATTAAAATAAAAAGAATTTATTTAAGATAGAAAAAAATATTGCTCAGTCCAGACTGATCAAATATTTCGTCAGTCCAGCGGGTTTTTGATATCATCTATTGGCTGGATAATATCCTCTATTGGCTAAATGATATCCTTAATTGGCTCGCTGACATTCTCTACTGGCTGAATGATATCATTTATTGCTGAATGATATACATCCTCTATTGGCTATATGATATCATGGCTGGATAATATTATATAGCCAATAGAGGATATCATCCATCCAATAAAGGATATGTAGTATTTAATAGAGGATATGTACTACTTGTTGGAGGATATGTGTTATAACAATCCCATTTTGTAGATTATATATGTAACAAATAGAAGATATCATCAAGCATATACATGATATCATGGAACTAATAGAGGATATTATTGAACAAACATATGATATATATAAGAGAGATGAAATCATAAACATACATAGTAGATGATATCATCTAGGATGATATCATGGAACCAATAGAGGCTAAAATCATAGAATCAATAAAGGATTATCATATAACTAATAGAGGATATCATCCAACAAACTAATACTCGTAGAAGATCCAGCTTACAAATGACATCATATAACCATTAGAGGATATATATTAGTCAGCCTATAAATGATTTCATAGGCAATAGATGATATCATCCAGCTTATAGACGATATCATATAAGTATATAACCAATAGAGGATATCATCCAACCTATACATAATATCATGAAACCTATATAATAAAGGATATCATTGAACTAATATAATATATCATGGAACTAATACGGGATATCATCTAGACAATGGATGATATCATCCAGCTTATCGTAGATGATGATATAATCTAGACAATTGTTTAATTTTATAAAATAATTAAAAGGTCAACAATGGCGGAACCACCATTGAAGGTCCCGTACTAAGCTCATGGGTATGACATAACATGCTCAAATTCTCAACCAAAATACATGCATTTGTTATTTGAACACTAACAATTCAACATACAATAACATAGGACAATCAGTTTCAGTAATTATACATCACACAAGAAATCCCCAAATCAAATTTTTTGGACATTTTTCGAAAAATCCGAGAATCTCAAGCAATAATCAAGCCAATTAAGCATAAATCATGCACAAATATAATTAACTATCTTAAACCACCACCCCCAAAACCACCATAAGCAAAACCCTAAAACCTGTATGGGGTGTTTTGGGCTGGTGGTTTAGGGTTAGGGGTGCTGGTTTTTTGGTGGGGGAAGGAGAGGGGGGTCGATTTCGATGGGATGAATGGGGATAGGGCCGATTCCGGTGGGGGAAATGGGAAGGGGGTGATTTTCAATTCGTGGTGGGGGTGGGGTCGGGGTCAAGGTAGCAAGAAGGGAAAAGGGGGCGGCCTGCATAGGTGGCCTGGGGAAAAGAAAGGGGGTTAGGGTCATCGACGTTGGCCGCTGGCAGGGAGAAGGGGTGGCTAACGGGGAAGAGCTGACAATTGAGGGGAGGGGGTGGCAGTGAGGTTTAAGCCTTCGAGGCAGCATTAATAGGGGATAGAAAGGTGAAAGTGAGGTGGCTGGGGATGGAGGGGTGGTTGGACCCTAATAATGAAAATAATAATTGTATAAGGTATTAGATAATTAAATTAAATAATGTGGAATTTGGATGGTAGCAAAGCAAAAAAAATAAAAAAAATAGGTAGCATATGTGAAACATGGTGTTTTTTGTGGTAACAAATGTCAAAATTTCCTTATATATATATATATATATATATATATATAATACCTTTGTCTTATAATATAGTTCTGTTTGTGTTTTTTCACGGTATTTAAGAAATAGGAGAAGATTGTGGCCTGGATAAATTACATTAACAAAAGTGAAAAATACAATCACAGACAAAAGTTAAAGACAGAAAGTGGAAAAAAGTAGAAGGTGTGTGCAAAATTTAAGGGTAAATTAAGAAAAAGAATGAAAAAATTCTAAAAAGTGAGGGTATAATGTTTTTTACATATTATCCAAAAACAGAAACAAGAACAATATTTTGGTTCTCCAAAATCGGAAAATAGGAACTATATTATGGGACGGAGGGAGTATATCATAAAATTTATGTTTGTATTACCCCAAAAAAAAAAAAAAAAAAAAAAGACTTTAATGTACATCATTATTCATGCCTAGTAGATGACTAGTCTTAGCTGCATAAACATGTGGCTCAATCTCTTCTCAATTGTGGTACTAAGTTTGTATCATGCATAAACAAATCCAGGCAACTTAGTTTGGCTTGTTTGCCGTTCTTTAACAACTCATATTTAAAAACTTTTGCTTCAGCATGCCCAGCATATGATGGGCTTTGATGATTGACAATTTGACACATATATGGCAACTCCTTCAAAAATTCCTTCTGATTTAAGAACTGCAGCAAGCAACAAATATGTGCCAGTTAGACTTCAAATTTAAGCTAATGTGTGAGCTTTTAGTGCTAACAACTGCAGGGAGGAATAGAATAAAAACTGGCTATCACTTCTTGCAGCCTTGGAAATTGATTTTGCCACACCTTTAATGGATTTTGGCACACCCCTATGTGACAATTAGAGCATAGAAAACTACGTTCTCACGTAGAAGTGTGTCAAAATCATTTCCCGCCGCCTTGCATAGTTGCATACCATTAACATATAAACTGTCGTTTCACGTTTTTGAGCTTAATTTTGCAAGCTACACTATAGCAAAGGGGTAACGGGGTTAATTTTCAGTTTCAGTCATTCTTATCTGTATTACTAAAGTTTATATAAAATTAGATAGAGCATTAGAGTATACTATATTTCCTAAAATGGAACCTCAGTAAAACATCCACAATAGATGAAAATGCAGAGATTAACTTAGTGTTAAAAAATTTAGTCATTGTAAGAAACTAAGAGAAGCTATATGAGCACTTTGACACCACAACTTTGTGATTGCAACAGATTAGGTTCTAGATTATTTAGAGAAAAATAGTAGGGAAATGCTAAGCTTGAAAGAAGTGCAAATTTAGCATACTAACCATACAGGATCATCAAGAAAAGCATACCCTGCTTTCTCAAAAGCTATAGGATCAGAATGCAATTAATTATAAACTCCATAAAGTTTGTATAGCAATGCCTGCATCCCAACATTAGGAAGATTAGCAAACGTTAACTTATTCTAAAGCTAATCTAAAGAAATTATAATCTTAAGTAAGATAAACACACCATATAATATATGCATCTATGAGGCAAAAATGAGTCTAATATGCATATACATTTAATATTCTAGTAATTCTACATCATGGCAGCACAATATATAAGTACGAAGAAATATTGGGGTAGAAAAAAGGAAGCAAAGAGTGTGTGAGGTATAGCCGAGAAAGAAAGATAGCGAGTTGAGTCTAATGAAGGCAAACACATAACAGAGAGAGAGAGAGAGAGAGAGAGAGAGAGAGAGAGAGAGAGAGAGAGAGAGAGAGAGAGAGAGAGAGAGAGAGAGAGAGAGAGAGAGCAGCAGCAGCAAACATAACCAACGCACAAACAGTCAAGCACACACTCTCACACTGAGACAGAAAAAAATGAGGGAGGGAGAGACAGAGGATGAGAAATAAGTTTATACGTAGAATAGCTAAATATACAAGTGCAATTAAATTATCAATACCCACATAACAAAAAATCAACCCTAGAAACATTAATTAAAACCTAAAATAATATTTTTTTTTTTTAAAAAAACATAATTCATGTAGTTAACGGTCAAATATAGTGTTAGGGACTAGGCAATATTCTTTAGCAACATACAATGATACTCACAGTAAAAAGAATAGTTCAATTTCAAAGAACTCTAACTGAATGAATCTGGATAATAATGTTAAGTAAAACCTGACATATATCAAATAAGAAAACTAAGCTACCTCTACAAGCCAATCAGCGAGTGTGGCTCACACACTGGCATGCATTATATCTTTTGAATCTTCTTTATGAAATTCGCTGAAGGTCTTGTCAATATCTGGAAAAGAAATGGGAAGCAATGCAATCAGAAGAGAGAAAAAGATGAGGCATGGAGCTGAATTGGTTGACAGGAAAGGGATATGTCAAACCTTGGAAGCACGCATATGCTTGTAAATATCAAGTTGTGGTTGTACAAAACTGAGGATCCATGTACTTATCATCATCGTCAACAACTTTGCAAACCTCTATTAAGATATTTATCATGAATGTAATTTTTAAAAATAAAAATAAAGAAGAAAGATGCAACAACGAACAATTCAACAATTAACTTATGGATGAAAAGGTACTATGTCATGAGGTAGCCCATACATAATATATTGGGAATAAGCTTTTTTATGTGGAGTTTGGTGATAAATATTGAGAACAATACAATAAAATAGAATTGGTTAAGAGTTTTCAACCATAACCACAATATTAGTCAACACCAACAATGTGTTGATTATTCAAGAAGACGACACCACCCAAGATTGCACGTAAGATTAAACACTGTCTCTAGACAATTGGAAATAAGTTGAGAGAGATGCTGGGAGGCTTGTTAATTCAGAATCCTTCCTTTATCACCAGCTCAAGGTTGTTCCCTAAGCCTTTACTCGAGTTAGTTTGCTCTTTAGGTTCAATTATAGGTCAGGAATTGGCTTAATGCTGGGAGTGCAAGAAGGAATACAAACGCTTTTAACCTTACAGATTTACCCATACGAAAGCTCTCTGATGACAAAAGCAGTGAAGGGAAGATAAGTCTACTGCACTTTGAGGTTCATGAGGTTGTCAGGAATGAAGGTAGACAGTGTTATGAACTGAAACAACAGTTCTCCAGAACTAACAGTCATAAAAACTCAAGCACAAACCCAAAGCTAGAGGAATTAATAAAGTAAAAAGATGAGCAAGAAAATGAGTTCATACTGCTAGATTTACCTTTTGTAGATGGCTTAAGTTACGAATTCTAACATATATCATTACCACCATCAAAGAACACACACAAACCAATGACTAACCAAATTCAATCATCACAGATATTCAACCACAAGCTATGATCTCAAAACCATGGTAAAAACACAAAGCCAAGCAATATGCCTAAAATCAATTATCAAAGAAATTAACTGAACATCAAATGCATATAACAGTCTAGTGATAATCAGTTTCCCCTTTCTTTTTTGATAAGGGTTCTAAATTTGATCTCATAAGATTAGTTTAGCAAAAATCATTTTTTGACTGAAGATGAAAGAAATGTAATTCGAATATAATTGGAAAAACAATAACTTAATTAGGGAAAAGGTCGTGACATTCATGATAAGATGCATTAATTATGAGTAAAGGTTGTTCTCTAACATAGGGTTGCCTAATACATAGCCTTTCACAGGGCCATTATCTAACAAATCATCCAATTCTAGGAGATATTGATTCCCTGTAAGGAGAACCACCTCATTGTGCAAGCCATTGTATGATGGAAGCCCTCAGGCCCAAACGAGTCTTGAAAATCTTTAGCAAACAATGTAATGAGATGGCCATCTTATCAAATGCTGCAAGAATACCCTTATATGTATTCGGTATCTTATCTTTCACAAAAACTGTGTGTTGGGGGTCAAAGGGGCACACCAACCATGGCATTGGCTTTGGACTACCCAAAGATGTACTAGCTTTGCCATCAAAGTGAACAAATACCACTTCAAAATCAGCGATCCTTGTTGTTTTATTTTGATTGTACCACTCAAGCAATGTATAATAGGTGTCTGATGGCGTTTCCACTTGGTCAATGTAGAGAAGGACATGTTTTCCTGCTGTTTGCCTATAGGCACTTCATCAATGCTATTCCTGATATCATTATGATTTGTTAAATTCATGCGAAGAACATAATCCCGTGACTCATAAACCAGCAAAGACTCTAAGGCGACCGCCCTTATTGCTTCCAATTCTCTCTGCACAAGGGAGTGCCGGGTGAAGGGATATCTATTGATACCCAATTGGTTAATAACATATTTTCTTAAGTGATCCGCAATATTCATCTTGGGGTCCAAAATGACCAGTTCATCCTCTTCGTCATGGTTATAATAGTTAAAACAAATTTCCAAGAGCCAGCGGCTTACAAAATCGTTGAACGGTGAAACCCACCAATGAGGATTAGCAGATATCTTGAGCTTATGTAAGACATGATTGATAGCCTCCTAGAACAATAGTGGATCCACGCTGTATCTATAAGGTAAGTAGACGAGGACGATGTGGAATTCTTGGTCCCGAGCCTTACATTCTTGAGAAAGCAAGTTGACTGTCCGAATCAAGGTGCCATCATAGCACAAATACATCCCCACAAGCTTCTCTTTAAGTTTAAAAACCGAGACTTTATTGTCAAGATCTATACCCACAGTTACAAATAATTAGCACCAGCAGCATTATTATTTATCTTGGAAACAAATTCAGTCTCTAAATTTGAATGGAGGTGGGTGTAAATTTTCCACCAAGAATAATCAAACTCAGGATCACAAAAGGGGAGAAAGGAAAGTCCATCATACCCCAAAGAAGGTTTATGCTCAACAACCTTTTGATGGTGGTCTACTAGAAGACCCATTGAGTCCGAAAAAAAGCCAAGGGAGTTGCATATTTTGTCACGACTCAACGTGTCAGAGAAAGGGACTGCAAGCCAGGAGGAAGGTAAAGCTGAAAAGAAGTGGTTGAAAGCATCCTCATCATTAGCCCAACTTCGTCTCATTTTAGCCACCATAACCATCACATAATCGGATTTGGGTAGATTAGAATATGCAGTAATTATCCCACGAATAACATTGCAATCACATGATTCTAGCCAGAACCGAGGCACGAAAAAGCAACAAACCAAGATGTTCTTTCCCCTAAGAGTGTCAATCTCAACTCTATGGCCATCATTTCGGACCAAGTAACCCCTTTCTCCATTAGTGGTAGGGAAAACAAGGACATAAGATCGAAGGGCAAGGGATCGCCTTTGGTAAAGGGAATTCGGCGTTCATTGTCATCTATTTGCTCATGTAAACAATCATGCACTTGACGATAATGGTGAATACACCACATAAACCCATCCTTAACAGTATGATCACGTACCCAAAAGGGCTTCATGCAGTGTCCGTCCCAGTTCGATGATCAAAACCCCCCATCTTCAATATTTGGTCTTTAGGGTGGTGATCTTGAAAGTGCAGTATGGAATCCACAGTCCTAGAAACCAGAAACCCAACTCGATAGAACATCTAAGAAAACAACCTACTACTAGACCTTAATCTCATCCTTTATTTCGTTTTGTTTCGATACTAAGAAATAATGCAAATGATAACAATAATAAGTGCAAAGCAAATCCAATCCAATTCAATTAAGTAATCAAGCCCTAGTAACTAGCAATATAACGAACGCCTCCAGTACGTTAGATAAGCATTTAACATATTGACTACAATGGTAATAATTTGGGAAAACATGACAAAATCACGAGTCGATTAGTGTAATTAATGTTCATTTTAATTTAATCTCTTTACTTTTAGCTAGCTTATCCAACGCTCTCAGGGCGTTCGTTAGCTTTTGCCTAATCTTAATCATAATCATAATCATATCATAATCAGTGGCGAATCCAGAATTATACCTAGGGGGTTTGAACTTCATCAAACACCCGATATCCGAATGCACAGATATAAAAGGTATCCAAGTATAGAATAGAGTATTGAAATAAATACCCATACACAAGTACACAACAAAATAAGTCCAAATTTCAATAAATTAGCAAAATAAAATGATCCGATACAATAATACATAACTTTAATTAAATGTCAAAATACAATACGTAAAATAATACGAAGTACATAACTTTTCATGGTCACACACTACAATAATTAAAAAAGAAAATTAATCAATACTATATCTACTGCCATTTATTCGTTTAAATGTTAACAATGTAACAAAAGTTACAAAACAATCAACATATTAACAACCAAGAAATTGAAAAACACAAAAACAGATTGAAAACAAAAGATTAAGATTTAATAGAAAAAAGATTAAAAATTTACAATTTAAACATGTGAGAGATGGATTGGTGCTGCTGGGGCTGTCTCAGATTAGTTGGTTGCCTCTATTTCCGGGGTGGTTAATCTCTTTCTTGCTGGCAGATGTCCGATGGAATTAGGAGAGTATATTGCTAGTGCTCCTCTCACACCACTTATCAAGCCCGGTAGTGGTATACGTCCTATAGTTGTGGATTTGCTTGGCAACGTTTGGTTTCGAAGGTCGGTGCTGTTATGGTTGGCAAATCTTTAGGCAGTTACTTTGATCGAGCGATCATGTTACGTTAAGTCCATCGTCGTTGTCCGGGTATTTTGCAGTGGGTTTAATTCTGCTACTCTAATCCAGCCAGATTGTATTATGGGGACCACACCTTATGGTCGTCTCAGGGTGTAGCAGGGTGATCCCCTTGGTCCTCTCCTTTTTTCATTGGTTTTACAACCTCTTATGTCCGGAGATACTTTTGGGTTTGTCTTCAGGCGTGGTATTTGGATGACTGCACTATTATTGGAAACAATTTGATGGTAGGGAAGGTTCTACAATTGATTATGGAGGAAGGACCTCGTTTTGGGTTGCATCTCAATGTGGAAAAAACTGAAGTTTTCAGGCCTACACAGAAGAACCTCGAAGCAGGCTTATGGGTGTTTTTCCCCCTTCTATTGCTTGACCATTGCATGGTGTTAAGCTACTAGGTGGTCCCGTTAGTTCTGATTCCAAGTTTAGTGGCGAGCTTGTGACGCAGAGGGTGACCAAGACCATTGCGCTTATGGATAGCAACCTTATCCATAAGCAACCTGCGCTTATGGATAAGGCGGCTATGCTGGATGATTCTCAGTGTGAGAGCTGTTGTTACTTAGGGCATGTATTGGAGTTTCTAAACTCTACTTTGCCTTGTGTACTTGTCCTCCAGGTGCTTTCGAGGCGGCTCAGCGCGTTTTTGACGAGGCTCTTAGATTTTCCTTGGAGCGTATTGTTACTGCTTCGGGGCCCGGGTTTGGTGATTGGCAGTGGCGGCTTGCCACCTTACCATTTGCGTTTGGAGGGCTTGATGTTTATTCTGCACGTGATGTTCGTCATTATGCTTTTCTTGCTTCTCGATTGCAGTCGGCTGGGTTGCAGACGCAGCTTTTGCGTGGTACCGGTATTGTGGGTTTTGGTCAAGCTTTTGAGGATGCGTTGGGTCTGTTTACTGGAACACTTGAGTCTGACATTTTAGGTAATCCTTGTGAGGTCGCTGCCCCTAAACTCATGAAGAAATTGGCAGATATATATTTCACAAAGGTTACTGCTTCTGCAGAATCCACCTTTTCTTTGTCTCCTCGGCAGTCGGCATTGTGAAAGTCGCAGCAGGGCGATCACACCTCTGCTTGGTTTCGAGCAGTTCCTATTTCTGGATTGGGTCAGACGATGAACGCTAAGACATACCAATGTGTTGTGTTATTGGATGGGTGTTCCATTGTTCTCTATCTCGACACCATGCTCTGCTTGCTCTCGGGTTTTTACTAGGGATGTATTCGGCGACCATGCGGTGTCGTGTGCTGGCATTGTAGGATTAAACATCGGCACAATGTTATTTGGGATACATTTGTTGATATTTGCTACAGATGTGGAATTTTAGCAAGAAAGGAGGTTGACATAGGATTATCCGGAGGGCCAGACCTGCCGATGTATTACCTTATTCATGGGATCGTGGTCGTGATGTATGTGTCGACTTCACATGGTCTTCTCCTTTGACACAGATAGGGCAACAACAACAACAACAACAACAACTAATAATAATAATAATAATAATAATAATAATAATAATAATAATAATAATAATAATAATAATAATAATAATAGTTAGCAATTATCTAAAGTATCCTTATTAGTCTCAACAAACTAAGGTATAGAGCATATCTGATAAAATGCACAAAATAGAAGACCAAAACAAAACAGGAATTTCCTATTAAAAGCTGTAATCAATCTGGTTAATTGGCCACTCGTTTAAGGTATGAAATTTTAAAGGCATAGAAATATCAGGGCATCTTAGTGGAATAGCAATCAATAATGATGAATGCAGAGCATTCAACGGTGCTTGTAGCCAAAGAGTGACAAGAACACATTAAAATACAAAGAAAAAAATGTACAATGGAACGTCAAGATATGAAGCAGATAGAAAAGCAAGAAGCTAACCTCCGTTAAGCCAAAGAGTGAGTGGCTTATGGTCAGGATCCTTCTCAGCTTCAACAAAGTAGTAAAACAAGCTCCCCCCAGTTTTATCATCCAAATCAATGAAGCCAGCAAACTGTCTGAATCCAACTTTTGGTTGGCCAGAGGATACCCATTCAAACAACCAACCCCTACAAAAATTATCTTGGGTGATAAGATCATGTGTACTAGTAGAATTAAGTAACTTTTTTTAGGCAACTGGGAGAGGGGACTATTAATAACAAACCAGCAAATTACAGCAAGTCCATTTTTTCCAAGGTAGAAATACCTTGCGAAAAGGAGTAAAAAAACTTTTTTGCGGAAGTACTCTAGCCATAGAGTGGGCTACAACGTTACCATTACGTCTAACATGGTTACAAGACAGAGAAACAAAAGAGCTTCCTACCATGGTGATGTCTTCAATGATCAGGTCGAAGGGTGTTAACCCCACAGTATGCTTTTTAATAGCTTTAATCACAGCCAGAGAGTCACACTCCACCACCTTCTGGAAACCCAAGCGTGCAGCCAAGCAAACCCCCAATCTGACAGCCAACACCTCAGCCCCAACCACAGTTCCATCACCAACCACCCTACGAACTGTAGCTGCAACTATAAGCCCCGCATCATCATGCATTACCACTCCTAACCCCACTGCATTCCCAGGCAACATAGCCGCATCGGAATTGACTCTGACTAAGCCATGATCTGGGTTCTGCCAGCCGCTACGAGAATTCCCCCAATATTTCACCACATTACCACTGGTAGCCTTTGTATATTTCTTAAAGTCTTCCACCAGTTTAACAAAACCTATAGTTCCAGTCACTTTGCACTTCCACAGGTTGTTAAAATCAGCTGAGCTCATGTAAGCCCAGGCCGCCTAGGCCATTGAAACAAAAATAAGAAGCTCCTTACACGTGAGCTTACCAGACATCCAAGACAACAATATCTATAGATTTATAGATTTACTTCTATGTTCAACTAAACGACCACGTTTATTATATTACTTGCACTTCACTTATGACTGGAGGACGGATTTTTGGGCCTCTTTATGTCTTTCCCTCACTTTGTCTTAATCTAATTAGTTTCTTAAGATTAATTAATTCAATTTAGAAAATGACTGACTTTTACTTATCTTTGTTATTTTTATGTTAGTTTTGGGTAAAAGAGTTTTCAGGTTCAGTTTTGGGTCAATGGGTTATATGATTAAGTATATCTTAAGTCTATCACTTTAAATTATATACCGGGTCAATTTTTTTTTAATTTGTTCAAGTTTTTCTCAGTAGCTTCAGATTCGGTTTGTTGTTGTAAGTGACTACTAATACTACTAGTACACCCTTGTTGGCAAATAATATTTGTACTAATATAGATTAATATAAAAATGAAAAGAGTGTCCAATTGAATAACCCCATCAATTGACCATCATCATTAACAGATTGGATACACTCAAAATCAAATTCACTAACAAATATCGAAATATGATGAAGCTTTACAAAAATTTAAGATCAAATTGTTTTGTTTTTTGTAAAGAAAAGCTCAAATTATCTTAGTTGTGCTGAACACAACAATTACAAACCCCATTTCATTATAATTCTGCAATCGCAATGAAAAATTCACAGCTTCCACAATAATTGACAATCCACAAACATATAAAAATAGCATTAATAGCATACCCTATATACTGAACTAGTGATTCTTCAAAAAAATAAATGTACTGAACTAGTGAACTAATTAGAATTACAGATAACACAAAATACTCAAAGAAATCAAACTAATTCAACTGTGCTCATTAAATTATCACATTGGGTCAAATTATAAACCAGAAATTTATGTTATAGAGTGAAAGTTGAAACTTAAAAATTGATTAGCATACCGTAATGTAAGGACGGCTGCAGGCGGAGGACTGGTGGTCGGAATTAGGCGAGAAGATGCTCTGGCAGCCGAGGGAGAAGAAGGGAATTGCGATAGAGAAGAAAGGGGCTGACAGCCGGCGTCAAGGGAGAACCACTGGAGTTGACAGTGAAGAAGGAAATTGCGAGGGAGAAAAAGGGAATTGCAAGGGAGAACACAGGAATTGCGGAGGACTGGTGGCCGATTAGCTGCTCCGGTAGCTGAGGGAGAAGAAAGGAATTGCGAAGGATTTCCGATCCGGCAGAGCTTCAATGGGGTTTAACGGAGAAGGAGGGAGTTTGGGAGTGAAAGAGTGAGAATGAAAGGTGAAGGCAAAGGAGGGAGTTCGAGGAGAGAGAGTGAGTGAGAGGGGAAATGGAAAGTTAGGGCTTAATTGGAAGGCTTATTCGTAACGGTCACTTTTGTTGGCTACAAATAACTGGTCAAAATTCAATTGACTTTTCTATTTGTAACGAGCATAAGCTGTCAGTTACGAATAAGTGTATTTGTAACAGGCAAAAAAGTGCCCGTTACGAATAATGAGCTTTTTGTAACGGGCATATAATTGCCCGTTACGAATACTTCTTTTCGTTTTTCGTAACGGACATTGGTTTTGCCCGTTACAAATGATGTTATTGTAACGGGGATTTATTTGCTCGTTACAAATAGGCCGTTATAGATGACCATTTTTCCACTAGTGACGCCACCCACTCCACCAGAAAAAAGATACGCCTAATGGGATGACAATGCATATTGTGCTTATCATAGAGGTGTTGGGCATGATACTGAACATTGCTATGTCTTAAAGCACAAAGTACAAGATCTAGTAGACGATGGGATTCCCATGCCTAAACCCAACAACAATGTATCCCCATTAAGTGTATTCACATTGATGAGGAACATATGGGAAATGATACGTGTAATCCTTTGGACTATATCACACCTATCGGGAAACCTCTAGCCACAACATCTCGTAGGGGTGTAAGGAGGGTGATCCCATCGTAAAGGGTACTCTCCATAAATGCCCATGGCCGCTTAAAAGCCTAGTACTTTACACTTGTTAGGGTGTATTAGGATTTGAATTCTTGACTGTTTGGGAGACCTTGAATTAGAATGATACTCTCATCACGCTTTTTTGTAAGAAACAAGTAGGAGTCGCCAATGAGTTTTAGGAAAACTCATAAACCTCGTTCATGCCTTTCTTCCATGTGGAGTTCATGGAATAATTAGCACGAATCATAAGTTTACCCATGCCCAAATTGGTCTAACTACCAGAAATGAGTTCGGGAGCCAGGGTACTAAGATAACGTTCCTTTTAGAGGGGAATCGTCATCCTAGCCCTAGTACGGCCTCTACTAGCTCTTCCTTTTTCACAATTTCATCACCAAACAATATATGCAACGCGATAGCTAAAACAATGTTAGTTGATTTTATTTACAAGCATTAATTCACGTAGGAATTACATTGCAAAAGTCGTTATTCTTATTTAATAACATTCGTGAAAGAACAATAAATAAACAAGATTCGCCTTGGCTTAAGTGATCATCCAACAATTATTTAATTCAATTCAAGTCTTTATTTAACACAAGATACTATGTGGAATTGATTAATTAATTATTTTAAAAGCGACCAAACAACCTAATTAATTAATTAAAGTCCTTTTAAACAAGAAAATAAAGGTGATTTAACTAAGTGGTCGGGAATTTACCACTTCTCTTTGCTAGATCTCCGTTTAGAACACTTACGGACACCTTCTTGTTGGGGAACCTCCACCATAGTAACAAAGTATCGAAAGGGTGAGTGTTTAGGACATGAGGGCTAGGTTGCACAAGTTCACAAGTTATTTCGCCAGAGTTTTAGGTTAATTTCTGTCTGTTGAAGCCTCGGTTTAAGCTCGTATTTATAGAGAAGGATTAGGTTTAGGGTTTCGAGCTTTCTGCCGAAGCAGGTGTCGCGCACAACAGATGAAGTTACGCGCGGCATCCCAGCGCAAGTTATAGAGTTGCGCTGCTTTGTGCAGCGCGACTTTTTGTCTTGCGCGCGACTTTATGGTAAGATTCGATTTTATATTTTCCGAATAATTTCCGAATAATTACAAATCTTCCACAGCGCAACTCTGAAAGTTGCGCTGGGTGTCGCGCGCAACTGAATTAGTTGCGCGCGGCAGCCCAGCGCGACTTTGTGAGATGCGCGCGACTTTGTCTACGACAACACTAAGTTTTAACCTAGGCGCTCCTAAATCCGTCATTGCTAGGGTTTAATCACGGGCTTAAGCCTAATTATGATCGAGTTTAGTTAATTGGACCTTTGTTTTGGCTTTTCTTTAATTTGGGCTAGTCTTTTGTGTTTTGTGGCTTAAGTAGTTATCCATAAGTATTCTTCACTTTGATCCAACACGAAGATGTTTATTTATCGTCATTGCACTTCCTGTCCGGACATGAGGCCAAAAGTAGATGTCTACAGTTAGCCCCCACTTCGATCGAGTCTAGAATAGACGATGATAAAAGTAGTCAAGGAAATAAATCCGAGACTCATTATGCGAAATTCTCTAAGGATAGAGAATCTTTCAGTAATGTTTAAGGATGTCGAAACAATCCTTGATTCGCTAAGTGTTTAAAACAAGTAGCTATTAAGGCTAAAAAAAGTCCTTCCTAGTCTTAACGCGCTAAAGAATCTAGATTGATCCTTTGCAATTGTAGAACGCTCTTACAAGTAAAAGTATTCTGGGTGATGTCAGGTCATGAGAAGAGATCGATTTTAAAAGAATGAAAGGGGAGGATTTCCTCTCAATCGTGTCATCGTTGGTCTAAAGTCCCTCGATATGTCATTGAAACTTTAGCTTGACTATAACAAAGTAAAAGATGAAAAAGGGTTTTCGATATTAGAGCCGAAATGGTCCGGTATTCGAGCCGGGTCTGGTATTTGAGCCGGACGTCCACAAGATAGAAATACATGTCTTAGGGCTGGAGACATATATCCAAATTCAGTGAGAGGGAAGAAAGTCAGCAACTCTCTCATCAGTTTTGTCCACAAGATGAGTACACGTGTCTCAGGACTGGGGGCACGTGACTACATAGGCGCTGTTTTGGGTGTTTTTGTCCCTCGGGAGAGTTACAACACGAAGACTGATCCGGGGTGAGCTGTACCTGCAAAACAAACGGAGACACCAGTTGGGTGGTGCTCCGCCTTCGACGCACAAGTTAGAAACTTGAAGGGTGAAAAAGGTGCGGAAATTTAGGTGGGTATCTGCTCGGATTCCAAGCTCAGGTGTTTCTCTGATGTAAGAGAATGTAGTTATATTAAATGGTCAAAAACGTGCCCTCAAAATGAGGGACATCTCCCTATTTATAGGGTCTTTGGGAATTGTGCCCCTTATTAGGTTATTGAACCCTAATCATTGGTGGGCTGCGCCGTTTGGCGGCATTCTCGGGATTTGGGCCTGAAGGCCGCCTTTTCCCTTGATTTCGGGAATGACACGTGTCGAGCAGGGATTGGTCCATTTTAGACCAATCTGGGGCTGACACGTGTCACCTTCTGATTAGGCCACGTGGCAGGGTAAAGTTACCCTAAACATTTGCCCCTCACAGATGTGACGTGACACGCCACGTGGCATCTGTGACACATGTCACGCTCCGGTTGGCGGTAATTTTACCGTTACAGAGTAACCGTTCACCTTCCGGGTAAATTACGGAAATGCCCCCAAATTTACCCTCTATATATAGCCGTTTTACCCTTATAATTTTGTACGTTTACAAAAATTTCCTAGAGAGAAAAACTTTGAGAGAGCAGAAGTCACTTATTTGAGGCAGACGTGAGCAAGAAAGTTTGTTCTTCAGCAATACAGCCGGTCCCGCCTACGTTCAGATACCAAATCAAAAGGTACTGTCTCTGTCTCTCTCAGCTCTTTTCTTTTTTCACCGCTTGTACATATTTCTTGCAATAAATGGATGCATCACCAACACACCCGGCACGGCCTAGGTTAGAGTCCAGCCGGTCACCAGGGTTGGCTGAGTCTAGGACTGGGAGTGCTGGCTCGGGGTGTTGGGACCACCCTTTGCCATGGATTCCAACCAGTTATGTGTCTGTGCAGGACACCATGGCTCGGACAATGCAGACGGCCACGGACCCGAATTACAAGAGCGAAGGCTCAGGCGGCCAAACGCCTGAGGGAGAAACGTCTGGTCAGGGAAACCAGATGGCTCTGGAGAGATCCCCTCCGCGCGCCCCTTCAACCCCTGCAGAATCTTTTTTGGAAGAGTGTGACCAAGGCGGCGACGAGGCCGCCTCTGCCCCCATGGACCAAAGCGAGGGGGAGACGGAGAGTGACAACTCCGCCTTTACCTCCGAGAGCAGCGATGACTTACCCCCTCTTCCGGATAGCGAGGAGGAAGAAAGGAAAAAGTGGAGTGAGAAGGACGATCCCTTCAGCATCCACGTCTCCTCCAAGGACCGAATCCAGATGGGGGAGAACTTAGAGAATTTTAAGAAAATGCACCCGCTAGGAGACGGGTATAAGATCCGGGTGCCGCCTGAGCTGGGCACCATCGCCTGGGGGATGATCAAGAGAACGCCAACAACTATTTTGGCTGTTATGAGGCGGCGTTCAAAGCTGGCCTTCGCTTCCCCCTTCACCAGGCGGTGAAGGCAATTTTGAGAGGCTACAACCTTGGGGTCTGGCAACTTACCCCCAACTCCTGGACCAACATTCTAGGGTATGTTGCCGCCTGCGAGTTCCAAGGGCTTAAACCCGGCTGGGAGGCTTTTGCAAGCATGCATTACCTCAGTAGAAGCCCGGGCGTCTGGAGGGCGTGGTATACTCTAACCACACAGCCGCAATACATGATGACCTTGGACAAGGTCTCAAAGTTCGATGGCTGGAAGCACAGGTTCTACCTGATGTCAGCCCCAACCAGACGGGAAAATTATGAATTCCGTCTGTACAATAAGAAGCCTGATTTGTTGGGCAGGAAGTGCGCTCTTCCCCAGATCCCAGAGGAAGACTTTCACAAAATAATCGAGGCAGACTTTTTCGGCCTCACAGACGCAACTCTGTCAACCGGGGAAACAATAAAAGTCCCTAAGAATTGGATTCCCAAGAGCGCTTGGTTCAGGGATGAATGTTTCCTGGCCGCCTGCGGGCTAGGGCACATGTTTACTAAACGTATGCGCCTGAGTTTATACTGTCTGTAGTATTTTTCTATCGAAATTGATTTATGATATTGACCAATTTCTCTCTTTTTGCAGAAGAAGCACTAAACATGTTGCAGTTGGAGAAAACTCCCAAGCGGTCTTCTGCGACCATCCGCAAAGATCTTGCGAAGAAAGCTGCGGCCGAGCTCAGGGCCAAGGTATTGAGCGCCTGACCCTTTAAGTTTATTTTAAAAACTATCTTGCCCGGATACTAACTTTGACTTGGT